CCCCCTCCCTCTTCCCCTGCCTGCAGCTTTGCCTACTTATTGCCTCCCGTCGCAGGAGAGGAGCGAGGTGGAGCGCAGACAACAAGGGCATCGCAGTGCCATCAATTGTCTCCACAGCACAGCCAAAAAGCAACAGGAAAACGAGTGACCAAAAAAAAAAAGCTTCAATAAATACTCTACCATGTCAGCACGGCACTGGCACATCTTCTTCAAAAATGCTAAGAGGCACTGGGCTCATGAATCTGCAGAGGCAAACATAAGGGATATAAGTGGGGTCTGAGGTGGGACAGGGGAAGTGTAGGTGGGTGAAGCTTGTCAGACTTTGGTGGAGTGGCACACAGGGAGTTCTGACGTCTGCAGATGTTTTTGCAGGAATGATGAAAAGCCCCAGGAATACTGAGGTTTATGGGATGAAAGAGAGATTCCCCTGAAAGGGCTTCAAGGAAGTGTTTTTTCTACTTTCCTGCTAAAGGCAGTGTTAACAGACCTCTCCATACCAAGCAGAGAGGTCTATTTAGGCATGCTTCATAGGAAAAGTATTTGAACTTCTTAGAAAACTTGACCTGATGGAAATGTCTTTTGTTAGCTGTTTGTTAGGAATGCACAAATTTACTTGCCCTCTGTAAGATTTGCCCTATACTTTGTGCCCGTTAAGAGATAGAAAGGTTGGATGTGGCCAAAAGAACGTGCACAAGGAAGACGTGCTTCAGTGTCTGGGTATATAGGTGTTACGTACTGAAAACATGTCTTCCTGAAACACTCTAAAGGTGTATAGAGGGTCTGCCAGAAAGTTCAGAAAAATATCTTTCTAGTAATAAGGATATCCCTTTCATACACTGTGCAGGCAGCTTTCTTCTCAAGGAAGGCCCCACCAGACAGGGTTTGTGGAAAGGAAGTTCTAACAGCAGGAAAATATTTTGTTGCCTTGTAATGGATGTGCTTGCATTGAGAAAGGCTGGCTGGGCTGCTGAAGACTTCAGATGCTTTTTTCCTTTTTTTCTTAGTATGTGCTGACAATGAGAATGAACTAGAGGCAGACCAGCAGATGGACAACTTGTACCTGAAAGCTTTGGAGGGATTTATTGCCGTGGTGACACAGGATGGAGACATGATCTTTTTGTCAGAGAATGTCAACAAATACATGGGTCTTACACAGGTAACTCGTGCCCTCACACTTTCCTGTCTCTGTAATACAATTCCTAGAAAAAACTCCTATGCCTAAATGCAGAAAACCAGCTGCGTATCACTGCAAAAAAGACTGGAAATAAAATGTCTTATTTCTTAGGCAGGTACCTGCACACCAGACAACAGTTGGGGGTTTTTCCCTCTCCCTTTCTATCAAAGTTATAGTGTCTTCGGTGACTGCCAGCTTGCCTTCCTAGATACTACCTTGGAGAGGAGGATGGACATTTATTCAACTTACGACTTAAGAGGGGATAAGAGCCGCTCTTTTGGGTCCCCCCTTTCCTGCTTTGTGGATTGGGGGTTTTCTCCTGTGTTGAAAATAACCAGTGGTGTTGGCTGTTAACTGCACCATGCAAATCCAAATATAGGGAATTGTTCTGGGGAGAAAAGGAGAAGTTATGCATAGGATAAACAAAGGGAGGGTCACAGGATTTGCGTCTCTGGGTACCCTGTCGATGCACTTAGCTCAGTGACCAGTTTCATCTGAATAGGTTGTATTTAAAAACAGATAAATACTATTAGTTGCCTTTATTTGGCTAAATATAGTTCTTCCTTCTGCACAGGTGGAATTAACTGGGCACAGCATTTTTGACTTCACTCATCCATGTGACCATGAAGAAATTCGAGAGAATCTCAGCCTGAAAAATGGTAATAAGGAAAATGGAAAAGAGTCACTGTTTGCTTTTTAAATAACCAAATTAAGTAACTGGCTGACAGTAGAGATCTGTTAGTCATGGTAAAGGGGAATTTTCATTCTCAGAGCAATCATTAACTGTTATTCAATACTTTGCAGGTTTGTTTTGGTTTGCCAAATGTTGCTTATATATGATAGTGCTAAGAGCTGTTTGTTTAGTGTTTTTCTTTCATCAAGTTAAGACAGGCATAATGTTTTCACTTGTAACACTTAGCAAAGATTTATGTGCTGCAAGCTAAAACATAGGTTTAAATGCACAAAGTCCCATTCAAGTTCCACCTTAAGTTTTAGGTCTGAGCTCTACAAACTGCTCTTCAATGGTCCATGCATCTTTGATGGTCTCTGCATGTAAATTATCTGAGACTTAGTCTGTTATTTCTATTGAATACTTCATGCTTATAAATAGAAAAAATCAAGAAGCAAAACTGAGGAAACTCATTTGCCATTTTCCTTATACAGGTTTAGGCTTTGGAAAGAAAAGCAAAGACATGTCTACTGAGCGTGACTTTTTCATGAGGATGAAATGCACTGTTACCAACAGAGGCAGAACCGTTAACCTCAAGTCTGCAACATGGAAGGTACCATATTTTAGCCATAACAAGTGTTTTTGATGTAAAAAGACATTTTGGCACGTAGAGAAAGTACATTCCAAGTTTGTTTCTCATTCAGAAATCATTATTTCAGGTTTTGCACTGCACTGGACAAGTTAAAGTGTACAACACTTGCCCTCCTCACACTCTGTGTGGGTATAAAGAGCCTCTTCTCACCTGCCTTATAATAATGTGTGAGCCTATTCAGCATCCTTCAAACATTGATATCCCCCTGGACAGCAAGACCTTCCTGAGTCGCCATAGCATGGACATGAAGTTTACCTACTGTGATGACAGGTAAACTCCACTGTTTTTTCTTTTCTATGGGTGTTTCTATCTTCTTGAACAAAACAAGCTGTCCTTCCAAACGTTCTCCTGTGTGGACCTAGGACTATAGTTACCAATACAGCTACTCAGCAGCTCAATTAATCCATCTCCAATCTCAATTTCGGCAAAATGGTACTCCTGCTGTATTTCCTCCTCCTGCTGAGTGAGGAATTCAAGTTCACGGACAGAAGATGAGGCAACTTAGGAGAGCTGTAAGGATTAGCTTCTTGGGTTTTAACGGACAGAAGAGTATACAGGATTTCTCTTCTTGTTTTTTAGAGAATGTCTGAAATGACATGCCTTACGGACCTTAGTCAAGGATTGTTTTATGGTTGGTTTGGCCCAGGATGCTACTATCGGTTAGCTGGAAAGTACTTTATGCTCTAGATTAACTAAGAATTGCTAAGGCATCCAGAGCATCTGCAGCTCTGAAATGGGGTTGCAGCCTCTTGCTCAATGAAAAGCAAACAACCTTTGCTGGTCATTTATCTGCTCCTTTTAGTGGCAAAATGAAGGGGAGGAGGAAGATCTTGGGTCAAGCAAGGGGCTGTCCCGTCCACTCCCCACACTTTCCTCTTGAGTGGAAAGAATGGAGATCCCCCTAGTGTCCACCTGCCTGATTTCCCCTCTGCATATTTTGGTAACCATCTTCCCTGCGTGTGAGTGAACCAGAGATCCCTTGCCATGAAGTGTCCTCCTGTTCCCCATTTCCCCAGAAAGTCCTGTCTGTAGGACTGTGGGTTTGGTGTTTGTTTTGGGGTTTTTTAAAGTTTATGAGGTCATCCCTGAACTTAATATGAAGTTTTCTGTCTAATGAAACTGGTCGCCTGAAATTCAGAGATGCTAGCAAGCGCTGAGGTCTTTAGGGTTATCAGTGGGATTATAAGCATGCTTTGTTTTTACGCAAAAATTCACAGGGTTGAGAATTTTTTTCATCCTTCAAAGATTTTTTAAAACTTGTGCTAAGCAAGATGATTATTTTAAACAATGTGATGAAGCAACCATATAAACTAGCAGTGTTAGCAGCTGTAGATGAAAGGTTACAAGTGTGAAACTTGTGACTGACCTTCTTCTGACCTCTCTGAGAATTTAAGCAGCAAGTGTGCCATAACTAGAAATGTCCTCTGATGTAACTGCAATAAATCAGACTTTTTTTTTTTCATGTTAATACTTTCAGGATTAAAATATTGAGATATCAGTAGGATTTTGCCGCCGGTGGGGAAAGCAGCAACATGGTAGTGATTCATTATTAAAAGCAACGTACCTCTGAATTACTGGGACCATTCAGTGGCAAGCTAGAGGAGAGTACCAGAGGATTTTGCAGCATTCACATGACTCTGCCAGACTTAAAGCATGAGCAATTATAAATGAGAATTAGAGGGACTGATTAAAGTATCCCATTAAAGATACACATGCTTATTTTAAAAAGAATGACATGTTATGCCCTGTCTTAAATAGTGGGAGTTTTTTTACAGGGAAAATTTATCACATGGCAGTGAAGTACAACAGCTTCCTCTGGAGGATTTAACTTGGGAATTTCAGAGAGTTTTCTTTAAAATCGGGCAGCAAAACAGCATGTCTTTTACTAGATAGTTTCGGTTGGACATTTTCATGTTTTATTGAGGTTATGATAAAGCTGTAAAGGCCAGGCCAGAGGAGGACGAGAACTCACGCACCTTTCGGGTTCTTCCCAGCAGATCCTCCTGGCTCTCGCTTCCCTCCTGGAGGGATGTTGATTTCTCTCCAACAGGCGACACATCACTAGACACATAAAAATGCAAAACACTCAGCTGTGCTTATCAAATTCGGTGCTGCTAGACAAATTGCATTGAAGGAGCAGCTTATGCCAAGAATGTAAATCCAGGCTGAGGAGCGGAGGAGGAAAAGCAGCATGTGCCAGTCAGATGCCTAAACTCTTTTCAACCTACTCTGGCCTTTCTGCAGCAACGCAGCAGGGCTAACACAGCTCATTTCTCCATAAGAGACTGTGTCTTTCCAGTTCAGGGTTGATATCCTTGAGGGCAGAATGCTGCCTCTAGCAGGCTTCCACAGTGACCCGAGTATCCCCTTTGCAGTTCATCTGGTGTGGACGGTCTGCTTCCAGGGAGCATTACGTTTTTATTTTTGAAGCACTCAGTTAAACTCTAGGAGTTCTGAGGAAGTACCTTAATGAATGGCAGCCGTGCTGGACCTTAGTAATGGAAGCATCTGCCTTCAGTGGGAAGCTTAAGTGGGTACAGAAGAGAGCTGCTCTTGTACATGAGGCTGAAATTTATCCTTGTGGAAAATGAGGATCACATCCATCATCTCCTTAGGAAAGCTCATAGTCTCTGTCTGTCACAAAACAACACGCAAAATATAGGCTGGCTACCTTTCAATGCTTTGTAACAAAAACTAATTGGCTGACATGAAGTGCCTTGATTCTTTTGGCTTTTCCTCAGGAGGATACAGGACAGATAGCAAGTTCTTGTCTCTTGAAGCAGACAAGACTGGCCACCCCACATTTGAAATGTGTGTGACATTAGCCCGTATATTTTGCCTTCCAAAAATAATTTATATATGCGGGCCTCTGACTTGCCAGTGGTTAGGTGGGATATGTTTGTATTCTTTAAAACAGCTTTTGCAAGGTGATGAGCCTGTTAAGAAAGGTTTGTGAGATATAAATAATAAAAATAGGTTGCTCTGTTAAATACCTGGTTCAGCCATTCCTGGAGAGCAATTTAAAAATGTTCCCTTGCTCCACTTATCTTGGCTAAGTGGTTTACAGGAAGGATTATTTTAGCCGTAATACAGAAATGCTGATCAGTGGCACAATGCAATAATCCAAGCGAGGATTTAGTTCAGCTGCACAATGCTTTTGTGTCAGAGAAGATCGCCAGCGAGATCTGAGCTGTAGTCGGAAAAAAAAGGCAAGGCTTTGTACAAAGGCAATTTTGTTACCTTGGTGGCATAGCTGATGCTCGGCGTTTCTTCCCATGCAGGGCCATGGGGGCGAGGAGTAGATAGAAATATTAGCAATGTATTTCTGTGATGGAAAAATCCACAAAACAGAAGTGAAAACTGTACGTGAATTTGATTGAAAACCCCAAAACTACTTCAGTTGCCCCAGCACATGCAGTCTCAGCCTTTATGGTTTATGCATAACAAAGGAAAGCCATACGCTGTGTTTTGGAGGGGACCAGGGTTTTGAAAGCAGAGAGGGTAACGTGGCATCGTAGGTGGTGGTGGCTTCTCACCTTCATCCCTGCAACCTCTCAGAGCGCTGGGAGGGGAGAGGGAAGCCCTCTTTGCCTGTAATTACTGTGGGCAGCGTGTGTGAGGGGAGAGAAGGGTAAGGAAACAAATCTATTCTGTTGCGGGGCAAGATGTGCAGGCAGTGACTCTGGAGGCTGAGTCATAAACCAGTTCTCTGGCACTGGCACACTGAAAAACGTATGTTCTCCATTATTTTGAAGGCATGGCTTGCTTTCGGGAATTGTGTGTTCCTGGTTAGAAGAAACCCAATTAGTTATAGTCTTTTTTTGCTTTTTCTTGATTGGAACATTTTAATGGAAGAGTTGAAGGAGGAGTGATGGAGGATGTATTGTGATTCAGAAAAGGATGGTGCAGGCAGATGCAATGCCAATAACGTTGGTCCCAGTTAGGTTTCTCCTAATATGAGTGTACATGTAGGATCCAGGCTGTGCCCGACTGAGAGGAAACTTGAGTTGCATTTTGTGTCCAGTTATGTCCCTGTAAAACAGAAATATGCAGACACAGGACCTTGTGTGAGGGTTTAAGTCAGTTTGCCATTTGACCTATATTTGGGGAATATTTTTAAATTAGGTGAGAACGCAAATAAGCATTTGAAGGGACCTCCTGTCCCTCGAGGCATCCCTGCTCAGGGGGAAAATGCAGTAGGGAGACAACAGTGAAGTGCTGAGAGATTCGCATTTGTTGAAACTGGCTTTTGGTATACACCACACTTAAGAAAAAACATTACCAGCTTCTTTTGTTAATAACACAACTTTGATGTAGACAGACTGAATGAGTAGGAAAGACGGAGTCCTGGTGAAGCTTTTAATGTATGCATCTAGTTTTCTTGCCTAGCAGGGCAGATACACCTAACCTGGCCAGCCGTCCCTCTGAGGATTGGGCAGGGGTCCCAGTTTGGGGTTTTTTCTTCCTTTTCTTCTTGGCCTGGGTTAGAGTAGAAGTAGCAATGTATGTTTTCAGGAGGAAATGTGGGTATTTGGCAGGACTGCCATGCTGCCCTGCTGCCCGCTCTAGCAGGCTGGCAGAGTGCTTTACCCCAGATGTAGTGGCTGTGTTGGGCTTTTTTTTTCTTTTTGGTGCCTTTTTTTCCTTTTAACTCATTCTGCTTTAAGTATAACTTTGTTTGTTTGTTCCCGTCAAGACCAATTTAACTTCAATAACTTAGTAACAGTTTGAATACAGAAAGACTTTATTAAGAGATCCACACCCTCACACACACAGTCCACATGCAGCCCGACAAATATACACCCAGCTATTTTTTTAATGAGCAGTAAACATTACAGCAGTCTTTCTCAAAGAGCTTGACTTCTCAGTCCTGACTGTTCTTATGATACTATTTTAACTCAAGAAATGGTATACAATAAAAAGCTTTGTGCTCCTATAAAGAGACAGAAAAGCACAATTTTAAGAAAAACCAAAGCACTTGAAATAGCTCATCTCTTAGGAGATGTAACCTTTGAAGCAGTGAGCTTTGTTTGCTTTGCCGCGTCTCAAAGAGATAAAGCAGGGCAAAGCTGTACAAAGCTAGAAATAGGATTCAGATCACTTGTTTCTCCATTCTGTACCGTAAGCATAAAACTTTGCCTTTACTCCACATCCGAAGAAATGGGTATATTAAGAGAAGCTGAAGTAGTGCTCAAAAACCATTTAAGGAGCACGGTAGTTGGAACAGATCCGCTACTGCGGAGGGCTACTGCCCACCTCTTTAATGTCTTTTCTGAGATTTTGACCTCAGTACATCATGGTGACAAGTATAGCTCAGAAAACTGAAGGGCCAGTCTGGCAAAATTAAGATTCCCCCCAAGGTATTTGTGTTTTCAGAAACAAGTGGTTAACGGGAGAATAAACAGCCTCTCAGCCCACCTGTCATCTTCAACAAAAATTATTATTATCCAATTAGCACCAATTTAGCTTTTACAAATGCAAAGGAAACCCAAAGCCTACCACGGCAGGAAAGCCATCCAAAACCACCAAACAGTTTGTTTTCCGATTTTGTCATTCCACAGCTTGCACAAAGAACAATTTTCCGTCTGGTGTCTAAGCAAAAGCAGAAGTCTTGTGTTCTGGACTTGGTTTTTTTAAATGACCCTTTGGTCCCACAGGGCTTATACATTTCTGTGACTCTTTTAGTTTTGTACTCCTCCTCGGAGCTCCATAGGATGCTTTTTCCTTTGCACTTAGTCCTCTGTGTATTCACTTGGCACTTCATATTGCAAAGAGGCTCCTGTGGAAGGCACGTGGAGTTTGGAGGGTGCACCTCACTGGCGAACCTCAAAGCGATGCTCAAGTGAGGTCAGTGCAGAGACCTTTGCTGAAGCGCTCGCTGCCTTCTCGCCCAGGTACCATTCAGGCTGGCGGCTATTGCCAGTCTTCTTCCATGAACCTCTCGGGACCGTCACGGGATGGGTGTGATGGAAACGGGGATAGCTGCCCGCCTCAGACCTGGTGCATAATGTGGCATAGAATTGGCTAATCTGATTTCCAGCCCTACGCTGCCTGTAGCCCGCAAGATTTTTTTTTTTTAAGATTTTCAGAGTCAGCAGCACCAGAGGAGGAATAAAGGATGGTCTGATCTGCCAATTCGTGCACCCTAAACGAATGCTTCTAACAATTCTCAGAGAGAGGGCATTTGTTATAAAATAGCAGCATTTAAAAAATATATCTAGGAAACACATTAGCCAGTTGTAGGGTTTTTTGGGGATAGGAGAAAGAAATATTCTATACTTCTTAAAAAAATAATTTCACTCCCAGGAGTGTTTAAATAGAAATATAACAGATTAACAGGTCAGTTAACAAGGGCATAGAGGCTGTTTTAAAACAATTGCTCTTGATTAGTATTTTACTGTTACCAGGCGTGGGTGTAGAATTTAGCCAGTGTTGTGGGGTTTGTGGGTAATTCTTTGATATCTTATTTTTATCTTCCTGTATACTTTTTAGCTGGTTGTTGTAAAAAGTTATCAACCTACCACTTGCTAACTTTCACCCAGGATTACATTAGATCTAATTAAATTTGACATTGTCACAGCAGGATTGTACCACAAGTTGTTCTGTGCCATGGAATGGCAAGAAGAGTAATTTTACAGTGAGGACGCTCGTTATGAACTGATCAGTGAGGAGCAATTTGAGAGGGGAATTACAGGATTGGAATAGACAATGTGGCACAGAGATTGCAATTCTTATGCAGTAAGAGTTAAGAGTCCCTCAGCCTGCTGGAAGACATATTTTTTGCTTGCTATCTGAGTTCCACTGTTGATACCCATGAAGGCTGTAAAGTGGTTTTGGATTTGTATTGGTGCTGCTGGGTGCATGATGGTTCTTTTTTTTCCCATTATCTTTATTTCCTTTTCCTTCTCCCTGCTCAACTCCTACTTGGCTCTGAGCTCCCAAGACTGGATTAAGAGTAAATCCTCAACTTCCTGACTTTTAAAAGCCTTCCCCTTGCAAGGAGCTCCGAACTAACCAGGATGGTTTTATGTTACTATGCCATTATATAACCAAAGGCCATAGTTTCTGTTTTTAAAGACTGTATATTTACACTGGTCCTGGCAGACGCCCCTGGCCACTTACACCAGTGTGCCCCAGCTGACTGCGTAAAGGCAAGCACCAACTGGATTTTGGGAGCCTTACTTTTATTAGGGCTCCTTCTGTATTTAGTGTTTTCTCCTGATGGTTCCGCCGTGATGACCAACTCACTATGAGAACTTCTGCTTTATTAAAAAAGAAAAAGCAATTGTGGTTTCAGAGAAAAGTTACAGATTTGACTGGGCTGCAGTTTAAAAGCTCAGAAGGTTGACAGTGAAGAGGGTCAAAAAAGCAACTCTTTTTGAAACCCGATTCCAGAATTTCCCCTTTGTTAGTCTAACTGTAAACATAAACAGAAGAGTAAGTCTTCGGGGGGAACCCAATAAAACCAACCACGGTTTTTCCTCAGCTAAACCACTACAAACCCAGGTTCGTTCCATGGAAATCAGGACAGAGAGTAGTTTTCAGAGTGACAAAACCAAGGTGTCCCGGGGGTATAAGCTATACAGTTCTGCGGAGGCGAGGGAGAAGCTGACTCAACACCTTGGCGTTCAAACCATATACAAAATAGCTCCATCTTATGTGTCTTCCTTGCTGGAGGGGGATCCAGGAGATGAATGCCATGCCCTTGCTCTGTTTGTTTTACAGTATTTACATGTCTGTCTTGTAAAGACATGCTTGTGTCTGGAAGGCTGGGCCAAAGCTGTCCTTCCAGGGAGTACGAAAACCTGAGGACGTGTCTCTTAAAAGTAGCAATGCCACTAAGCAGATGTGGTGGTGGCAGCAGATAAAACCTTTCCACGGGAGTTAGGAGGCATAAAACTCGGGCACTGCCATTGACAGCAGCGATGTGCTGCAAGATGTGACCATTCCTTTTCAAGCCTCCTGGCTTTTCAGGGTTTGTGACAGCTTAGCAGTCAGTTTGCAGTCATTTTTCATACTGCTCTCTGCAAGGTTGTTATTGTAGTTTAAAAGCTAGGAAAAGGCATCTAAGAGTGCTGTGGCTGACTTGAGAAACAGTGATGTTTCCTTCTCTTCCCAGAAGATATGGTATGTTTGATTTTGAATGCATAAAGAGGATTTTTTTATTTTTATCTTTTTTACTAACCATGTTTCCTGTAAAGTTGTGTGTGATGGTATTTCAAGTTGAATTTAGGAAAAAAGAATGCTTTTCCTCCAGCCCCTCATTAGAGAAAATCATCTGCACAGTTTGATGACCTATTTTCATTTTACTCAGGAACTTGTAAGAAATCCTGCCTTGCCCGAGTACTCAGACTCTGGGAAAAAAATCTAGTTTTTGAGATCATAACTTTCTTTGTGTAAAATCCTACTGAGTTTGTGGATTGGTCACCCGAGTAACCCAATCCATACGCTAAAGTTCTCATATAATTGAGAAACACTAAGTAGAAGAGCTGATTTTTTTTTTTTCTTTTAACTGCCCATAGATTCTCACCTTGCATTTTTATTTTATTAAATCAATACCCAAAGTAGTGATTTAACCCTTTTATGTATGTTTTTTTTAAATGTACGCATACTTTTAAATCTGATGGTGCCAACCACTACCCTCCTCACATGCATTTGATTTTGAATTATGGTAGTTGGGAGTTTCTGCATGTAGTGGACAGCTTGAGAACTTTGTCAGCAATAGTTTTCCAGCTGAGACCTTCTAGAAGAGATACTGTGCAGTAGGGTTGGGAAAATTTGCAACACACATAATGACATCCCTAGGAATTTTTATTCCAGTAGTAGTAAAAGGCAGGTTATTCTGAACATGGAAATATTTCAGAGACATGATCAGAAGTCCTCTACAGCTCCTAATGTGTTCAGAATTTCTCGTATTGTGGTTTTAACTCTGTTAGTCTAAGGCTGATAGCTACCCTGCACGTGTAAGCATAAGGCTAAGGTGACCTGAATTTTAAATATTTGGTTTTTTTCTTAACTAAGAATAACAGAGTTGATTGGATACCATCCAGAGGAGCTGCTGGGCCGTTCAGCGTATGAGTTCTACCATGCCTTGGACTCGGAGAGTATGACCAAGAGTCACCAGAACTGTAAGTCACATTCTTATTTTTCTTTATAGTTTGTATATAAAGCACAGCTTGCAGGTACCTCAATAAGTAGTTGAAAATACAAATACACCTTGTGTGCAGATATTCTCTGAGAACATTATTTAGGCTTTTCAAGAAAGCTTACATGTTACCGTGCTTGTCTAGCTGAAACCTGCAGCTGATCTTTCCAAAGGGTCTGTCTGTCTTCTGCTACCAAATAACAGCTATCTTCCTCACCCAAAACAGATGTGTGAGCAGACTTTCTAAAAGGAATATTCATTATACAAATAATATATATTGCTAGGAACATGATCTTCTTGTTATTCTTATGCCTATGTGAACTGCCAATTTTAGCTGTTTATAATGTAAAGTACCCGAATTACTTTGGGAGCAGAGATCAGATCAAAGATCTGCTCCCTGTCTTCAGCAGGCCACATAGTTAATGCTTCCTCTCTCTAACACATAAGATATTAGATATATAAGATTACTATATATTATATA